GGCTGTATCTGGTGGATGCTGCTTCTCTGGGCGTTCATCTCGAGGTGTTGGGATCGTCTGGGAGAAGTTCTCACGTTTATCTCCTCTGTTGCCTAGGTGATGCCATTGTGTCTAAGATGCTTGAGCTTGTCTAAGGGTTTGAACTTGCGTCTCAGGCATCCCGATGGTTTGTTTTATTTTTAATTGGCGTGTGTGTGTGTGGTACTTGATACACCCCCATGGGTATGATTGTATACGGTGTATGGGGTGTATACGTGTGTATGGGGGTTTGTGAAGGTGTATGGGGTCTGTATGGTGTGTGATCTATGTATGTGACAGTGGCAGAGATGAGAGACTGACTCAAAGGCCCAGGTATGTGTAGCGAGAGGCACGTGCGGAAAGACATGTATGGAGGCACATGTGTGCAAACATAAACACACCTATACACACACACACACACACACACACACACACTGACTACATCTGTCTCCTGGTATTAATGGTAAGTTACCTTTGATGTGAAGACAGGTGAAGCAGGAGGTGATTGTGCTGGCAGGCGACCCAACTACCAAAACACATGCTGTTGGAAGAGACGGGGATCACTGTGGGTAGGACATGCTCCCTCTCTCACTCCCTCCCTTCCCACAATTCCTTCCCACGATTCTCCCTTCCCTCCCTTCCGCAGATACTAACCAGGGTTAACAATGGTGTGAGCAACATCACGACAGCCCAGTAAGAGCAGTCAGCTGGCCTCACTACCAGGAAGGCCAAGAGTCAATATAACAGATACAATATTGTAGAGGTGACCCACGTGTTACAACAATAGTACAGTAATTCACCTGGAACTGTCGTCGTAGGGAGAGGAAGGGCTGGTAGGGTAGGTGGAGCAAGTCTAGGCTCCTCAGGAAGGGTAGGACAGAGGGAGTCAATGCCTCTTAGGGGTCCTATGGGCACATATCCTAAGTGCCAGTGGTGCCGGGCAGGCGTCGTCCGCATTGGGTCACATGCAGTTCAAATCTGGCCCACTCGGCCTGCGCGGGCTGCCGCGCGGGTAGGCCGTGCGCCGTCGTCGTCCACCAATCAGGGCACAGCCCTGCCTATACTGTAAAATGTCTCCTTGGCGGGCACTTTGAATGTGGTTCCCTCTACACTCCTCCCGTCCCTATAGAACAATGGGTATGTTGGAGGGAAAACGTTTCACTATATACAACATGTCTTTTTTGTAAAAAAAGTCTATTTTCATGAATGGGTCCTATTACAATTATTACCCGTATTATCTTTGCACTGTACACGAACATTACGATTATTACCCGTATTATCTTTGCACTATACACGAACTGTTTCAACATTGCATACACTACACTATTCCCTTTCCTTTTTTCTTTTTTTTTTCTTTTTTTTTCTGCTCTTATGGCTCACACCGAGGACATGCATACTCTGGTTTTGACCGTACACTCGCCAGAGTCACTCCCACGCAGACCCCATGGAACCACTCCGCGCACATATCGCATTGCACCATAAACTTTCCATCGTATGGTTGCCGACACACACAGTAAAGGTCCTTATATGGCCCTCCCACTGGGTCCTGAACCTGTGACATATGATGTTTAAACTTCTCAATCCAGCCCGGGCATGTACGGTCCTTGCACTTCTTTAGTTTATCATGATTTGCTGTGATGTTGTCATTCTGGAGCTTGACCCTAAATAAGCAAGATGAGAACTTGTGGATGATGACGCCTGGGCCCTTCCACTGCGGTGATAGCTTCCGGCACTGCCCCTTCACCTGTGCCGTGTCTAGCAGGTAAACCAGGTCCCCTTTCTCATAGACCTGTAGCCGTGCCCGTAGGTCATAATCTCTCTTCATTCGTTCCTGGTTCGTGGATAGAGACTTCCGTGCCAGTCCATGCGCCTTCTCAATTTCCTTCTGCAAATTTGCTAGGTAAGGTACTGCATCTGATTGAAGTTGCACCTCCCGGGGTACATTAAATCTATTGGCTGGTTGGTTTCCCAACCGAGCATTAACTTGTTGGGCGTGAACCCCGTCTGTCGGTTCACACTAGACCTGATGGCCCCTGCTATGTGTTGAATATAGGTGTCCCAGCTGTCATGTTGGGAACTGGCATAACACCGCAATGCATCCATGATGGTTCTGTTTATACCTTTCCACCTGCCCATTCGCCGACGGCCTGTAGGCGGTAGTACGGGCCTTGTGGATGTGCATCAATTCGCAGAGCTTCGTAAACAAGTCACTTTCAAAATTCCTGCCCTGATCGGTGAAGATTTCAAACGGATACCCGAACCTGGTGAAGAACCCATCGAGTGCTGCTCGGGCGGTGTTCTCTGCCGTCTGGGACGGTAGTGGCACACACTCAATCCATTTAGTGAACTGATCTACCATTACCAGGAGATATTCGTTGCCTTTCGGAGTCTTAGGCAATGGTCCCAGAATGTCCAAGTGTACCCTTTCCATTGGTGCACCCGCCTGGTACTTAAGCAGCTCATGCCTGCTGGTCTTGGATGCTCTTTTGTTCATACTACAGTGGTGGCATGATGCCACGTAATTTGCGACATCCGTTGATAGCCCGTACCAGAAGTACCTTGCTTTGACCCGCTCCATTGTGCGATTTCGGCCCTGGTGGCCCATATCAGGTATATCATGGCACAGATTCAGTACCTCCTGCCTCAGGCTGCTGGGTACATACAAAAGCTTCTGGGCGGCTCCCCCCTGATCTACTTTGTGCCACCACCAAAGCCCATTTTCCATGAGAAGTGCTTCTTTGTTTAACCAGTAGTATTTTGTTGCAGGGCTGGCCCCGAACAGGTCCCCTTCTGTTGGCTGACGGCCTCCCACCCATTCTCTTACCATTCTCATGTCCGGGTCTCTCTCCGTCCGCTCCTGTAACTCGAGTAAATGCAACCCTAGCCTGTCCGCCGTTGTTCTGGTGATGATCCTAATGTCTACTACTTCTGGGGCCACTGCGTCTTCTTCCTTATAAAGCGTCTCGGCAGGCTTTCTTCGGCCATCTTCACCAGGGTCCCATGGGAAGACAGCCAAGTTGGAATCCTCCGACCACCAGTCTTGAATAGGGGCTATAGTGCTCACGCGTCTAATCGTCCCCCGGATCTGAACGTTACATGCACATCTGAACGACCCCGTAGCCAGTGGGACGACGTCATCTACCGTCTCCTGGAAGGTCGCCCAGTTCTGATGTGCCCTGCGACAGTATGGGCATCCTCCACACGGCAGGTCCTGCACTGGCACGTCCTGGCGAAAGTGGGTACATGCCTGTTGAGTGCCTCCCTCCCTGGATAAAGAGTCTGCATTGTTGTGTTTTTTACCTGCTCTATGCTGGATTTTTAGATCAAATTGGCTCAGCTCCTCCAGCCAACGTGCTAGTTGGCCCTGGGGGTTCTTAAACCTAACCAGCCAGACCAGCTGCCATGGTCAGTGCGTATGGTAAAAGGCCGCCCCAAGAGATAGTGCCGGAACAGCCTGGTAAACCTGACTACTGCCAATAGCTCTTTCCTCGTGGTGCAATACCTTCTCTGTTCTGGGTCAATGCGAAACTGGCATAAGCAATTACCTTTTCTTTCTTCTCTTGAACCTGTAGCAGCTCCGCTCCTATCGCCCAGTCGGAGGCATCGGTGTCCAGGATGAAGGGGTCATGTCCATTAGGTAATCCCAGCACCGGAGCTGTAGTTAAGGCCATTTTGATAGCTGCAAAAGCCTCCTGATGCTTGTCTCCCCATTCGAATCTGTTTCCGCCGGTCAGTGCGTATAGGGGTGCGGCTAACTCTGCAAATCCCTTTATGAAGGCCCGATGGTAGTTGGCCAGTCCCAGAAATCTTTCCACGTCTTTGGATGATCCCGGCTTCTGCCATTTCACCACTGTGTCTATCGCCTCTTTTCCCAGTTCTAGTCCTGCCCTGCTGACCATCCTGCCTAAGAACTCAACCCGTTTCTTAAAGAGGGCGCATTTTTGTGGTTTCAGGCGTAAACCATAGGTTCTGAATCTCGCAATACCTGTGCTAGGTTGGAGAGGTGGCTTTGGAATGAATCGCCCAGCACCAGGATGTCATCCAAGAATGCTAGCACAGTTTCCCAATTTAGCTCCCGCAACACCAAGTTCATAACCCTGGCTTAGGTAGCCGGAGCATTACAAAGACCAAAGGCCATTTTCTTAATTCAAACAGTCCGTATTTCGTTATGAATGCCGTCTTCTTCCGATCTTCTTCTGCTATGTTGATCTGATAATATGCCGAGTTGGCATCTAGCTTGCTAAACCATTCGTTTCCCGCCAAGGTGTCCAGGCACTCATCGACTAGAGGGAGTGGGTACACGTCCTTTATGGTGCGAGAGTTCAACCCTCGATAGTCTACACACCACCGAACTGACGCATCCCTTTTCCTTACCAGAACTGGTGCCGATGCCCACTCAGATACTGACGGTTGGATGATGCCCGCATCGAGCATGCGCTGAAGGTGTCCTTTCTCCTCCTGTGCGAAGCATGCGGGTGTTCGTCGTATTTTTTGCTTCACAGGTCTTGCATTACTCGTGTCGATGCGGTGAGATACCTCCTTGAATGATCCCAGGTCAAATTCACTTGCGGCAAAGATGTCCTGGAAGTTCCATAACAGGTGGGTCAGTTGGCTTGCCTGCTCTGCTGACAGCGTTTCCTCGACGTCCTGTACCATGGTCATCATATGGGGAGTAATTTGACTTGAGTTTCACTTCGTACCCTCCCCACTGCCCTTGCTGCTACCGCTGGGCCCGGCCCCGGTAAAATTTCCCATACTGCCTCTGCATTGGCCACATGCATCCGCCTCTTTAATGTGATATTCTGCCCTGTTACGTTGAGTACACATACCTTCAGGAATTCTCCCTCCTGATGGAGTGTGCGAACCACTGGCACCTGCCCATCCTCCAGGGGCTCCACTATACACTGGGGCATACTTTTGTCCATTTCACATTTGACCCTGGCCACTGAATGTGTGGGATAACAGTGTATTGGAACACTGCTACCTTAGCGATGCACGGAGCTAGGTTAGGGTCAGGCTCCTCTTTCGTCTCTAGCTTCATAGGAATCACCTGTCCCTGTAATATCATTTGAGACTTGTCTAGGGCTATACTAACACCGTATCTTTTCATGAAATCGAGCCCTAGCAACATGTCGTCTGCAATAGGCGCCACATACACTCCCACAGTGTATTCCCGTCCCGCAACCAGCAAGGAGATGGGGCCCACCAGTGTTCCCGTAAGGTGCATTTGTTTCCCCGCCGTGCTTAAGGTTATGTGTTGTATCACCTGGGGTGGTGGGTTCAACCGTTGATGGATCTCCTGGGAGATAATGGTGACCTCGGCCGCTGTATCCACAATCGCCTTGACCTCCACGTCCCCGATCTGGACTGGGATCCAAAACATAGAGCCGGATCTGAGCTGTCTGATGGTTATGTGATCTCTTCCCCCGTCCTGCTCTTCCGTGCCCGACGTCCCTTGGCCCGCCCCTATCGTGCTCTCCCTTTCTAGGCCTGTTGTACATTGGGTCGGAGTTAGGCCGACTGGACCGACCCATCCGTGTTTAAAGACTCTCGTCCTCAAATGAAACGCGCAGCTTGTTGCCCAGGGGGTCCCTGAGCCGGCGGCTTCCCTTCCCATCACTTCCCGGTTCCAGACAGTCCCGAGCCACGTGACCCTCTTTCCTACATCTGAAACACTGCAGCGATCGCCTGGGAGATGGGGAACGACGAATATGCGGCGATATGATGGCCATCGTGAGACGCCTCAAACTCTCACACACCTGATCCAATTTCCCGCTGAGTTCTGAGACACCTGCTACCAAGACGTCCAGTTTCCGTCCGTGTCCATGGAAGATGAAGGACCCGAGCCTGCACTCGACGGGTGGTGAGTACCGGTTCCACGGCCTGCGGGACTGGTAGCCGGCGAGGCACCTGGTGTCGAGCGTAGAGGGAACCACATTCAAAGTGCCCGCCAAGGAGACATTTTACAGTATAGGCAGGCTGTGCCCTGATTGGTGACGACGACGGCGCACGGCCTACCCGCGCGGCAGCCCGCGCAGGCCGAGTGGGCCAGATTTGAACTGCATGTGACCCAACGCGGACGACGCCTGCCCGGCACCACTGGCACTTAGGATATGTGCCCATAGGACCCCTAAGAGGCATTGACTCCCTCTGTCCTACCCTTCCTGAGGAGCCTAGACTTGCTCCACCTACCCTACCAGCCCTTCCTCTCCCTACGACGACAGTTCCAGGTGAATTACTGTACTATTGTTGTAACACGTGGGTCACCTCTACAATATTATTGTCCCGTGTGTGTGTACTCACCTAGTTGTGTTTGCGGGGGTTGAGCTCTGGCTCTTTGGTCCCGCCGCTCAACCGTCAATCAACAGGTGTCCAGATTCCTGAGCCTATTGGGCTCTATCATATCTACACTTAAAACTGTGTATGGAGTCAGCCTCCACCACATCACTTCCTAATGCATTCCATTTGTCCATGTTCCAGGTGTGTGTGTGTGTGTGTGTGTGTGTGTGTGTGGGTGTTGTGTGTGTGTGTGTGTGTGTGTGTGTGTGTACTCACCTAGTTGTACTCACCTAGTTGTGTTTGCGGGGTTGAGCTCTGGCTCTTTGGTCCCGCCTCTCAACCGTCAATCAACAGGTGTACAGATTCATGAGCCTATCGGGCTCTGTCATATCTACACTTGAAACTGTGTATGGAGTCAGCCTCCACCACATCACTTCCTAATGCATTCCATTTGTCAACCACTCTGACACTAAAAAGTTCTTTCTAATATCTCTGTGGCTCATTTGGGCACTCAGTTTCCACCTGTGTCCCCTTGTGCGTGTTCCCCTTGTGTTAAATACTGTCTTTGTCTACCCTGTCAATCCCCTTCAGAATCTTGAATGTGGTGATCATGTCCCCCCTAACTCTTCTGTCTTCCAGCGAAGTGAGGTTTAATTCCCGTAGTCTCTCCTCGTAGCTCATACCTCTCAGCTCGGGTACTAGTCTGGTGGCAAACCTTTGAACCTTTTCCAGTTTAGTCTTATCCTTGACTAGATATGGACTCCATGCTGGGGCTGCATACTCCAGGATTGGCCTGACATATGTGGTATACAAAGTTCTGAATGATTCTTTACACAAGTTTCTGAATGCCGTTCGTATGTTGGCCAGCCTGGCATATGCCGCTGATGTTATCCGCTTGATATGTGCTGCAGGAGACAGGTCTGGCGTGATATCAACCCCCAAGTCTTTTTCCTTCTCTGACTCCTGAAGAATTTCCTCTCCCAGATGATACCTTGTATCTGGCCTCCTGCTCCCTACACCTATCTTCATTACATTACATTTGGTTGGGTTAAACTCTAACAACCATTTGTTCGACCATTCCTTCAGCTTGTCTAGGTCTTCTTGAAGCCTCAAACAGTCCTTTTCTGTTTTAATCCTTCTCATAATTTTAGCATCGTCCGCAAACATTGAGAGAAATGAATCGATACCCTCCGGGAGATCATTTACATATATCAGAAACAAGATAGGACCGAGTACAGAGCCCTGTGGGACTCCACTGGTGACTTCACGCCAATCGGAGGTCTCACCCCTCACCGTAACTCTCTGCTTCCTATTGCTTAGATACTCCCTTATCCACTGGAGCACCTTACCAGCTACACCTGCCTGTCTCTCCAGCTTATGTACCAGCCTCTTATGCGGTACTGTGTCAAAGGCTTTCCGACAATCCAAGAAAATGCAGTCCGCCCAGCCCTCTCTTTCTTGCTTAATCTGTGTCACCTGATCGTAGAATTCTATCAAGCCTGTAAGGCAAGATTTACCCTCCCTGAATCCATGTTGGCGATTTGTCACGAAGTCCCTTCTCTCCAGATGTGTTACCAGGTTTTTTCTCACGATCTTCTCCATCACCTTGCATGGTATACAAGTCAAGGACACTGGCCTGTAGTTCAGTGCCTCTTGTCTGTCGCCCTTTTTGTATATTGGGACCACATTCGCCGTCTTCCATATTTCTGGTAGGTCTCCCGTCTCTAGTGACTTACTATACACTATGGAGAGTGGCAGGCAAAGTGCCTCTGCACACTCTTTCAGTACCCATGGTGAGATCCCATCTGGACCAACAGCCTTTCTAACATCCAGATCCAGCAGGTGTCTCTTGACCTCCTCTCTCGTAATTTCGAACTCCTCCAAGGCCGCCTGGTTTACCTCCCTTTCTCCTAGCACAGTGACCTCACCCTGTTCTATTGTGAAGACCTCCTGGAACCTCTTGTTGAGTTCCTCACACACCTGTCTGTCATTCTCTGTATACCTGTCCTCGCCTGTTCTAAGTTTCAATACCTGTTCTTTCACTGTTGTTTTCCTTCTGATGTGACTGTGGTGTGTGTGTGTGTGTGTGTGTGTGTGTGTGTGTGTGTTTGTGTGTGTGTGTGTGTGTGTACTCACCTATTTGTACTCACCTATTTGTGCTTGCAGGATCGAGCATTGACTCTTGGATCCCGCCTTTCCAGCTATCGGTTGTTTACAGCAATGACTCCTGTCCCATTTCCCTATCATACCTAGTTTTAAAAGTATGAATAGTATTTGCTTCCACAACCTGTTCCCCAAGTGCATTCCATTTTTCCACTACTCTCACGCTAAAAGAAAACTTCCTAACATCTCTGTGAC